GTAAAAGCGTCAAACTCTCTTCTATATGGGATTGTGCAGGAAACCTTCAAGCTAGGAATCAACATGTTGATATTGTGTTCAACGGAAGGAATATTGTGAGTTGAAAGGAAGACGTAAAGAAGGAGGTGGATGGGTGGTGGTGCTGAGTGTGCTCAGTTTTACAGTGCTCAGGACAATATGGTTACCATTCAGAAGTACTGCTCCTGAGAATCGTCATTAGAAATGAGTGACTAGCTGCTTTTGTATGGTATCTACGAGGGAGAACAAGCGTCAGGGGGCCTTAGAAGTCAAGTTCGGTTGAACAACGAACTGAACTAGTAGTGCTCGAATAGATATAGGGAAGCGGCTATTCACTCGTGCGTTAGGGACGGTAAGCATGTGAACTTCCCGCAGAAGCAGAAGTACGATCTTGCACTGAAGCTCTGAAAAAAGAAAAAGCAGCAGGGCCTGATGGGCTTCGTCCCTCTCTTCAATATGGGGGATGATGAACCCGCAGATTCCAATACTGATTTACTGCGTAATATCTGGTCGCAGGGACGCATTCCATTATCTTGGAGTAAATCACTGATCGCTCCATTTTTCAAGAAGGGATATCTCATCGACTGTGCAAACTACCACGGGATCAGTTTAATCCCAATCGCGACCAAAGTATTTTCCTCCGTCATATTTGGACGCCTAAGTCCCTCACGAAAGGGGCCTAATATCCATGAATAGGAAGCTAGATTTCAACCAGGTCGCATTTTTTCGACTAAATTTTCACTTTGTGTCAAGTCCGAGTTATGCCTTACACGCTGTCGACCAGTGGTCATCGTGTTCCTTAATCTGAAAGGAATCTTAGACTCAGTTGACTGCAATACCCTCATGGGTTCGCTCCTACCAAAAGGGATACCGCTGAAGTATGTAAAACTATTGAGGTCAATGTATTCTCCTACTTCTGGTAACGTAAGGGGCTATGGAGAGCTGAAAAGACCGTTGGAAATCAGAAGCGGTCTTTAATAAGGCTTCCATATTTTGCCATTCCCGTTCTATTTTGTCGTAGATAAAATGCCGGAGAACGCACTAAATAGTCTCCAAA